AAAGGTGGATTTGGGACCTTTAATAGAAGTATGTGAAGCAACAAAGGGGCAAGTGTAGCAACGTTTGCGAGAACAGCGAAAAGTACCGGGTTCTTTATTAGAAGGAAGTACACCTTTAACTAAGAAAGAGCGTAAATTACGGTCCCTTTTGAACGAAAAAAGAGGGAGGGGAGCTATTGTTGTTTTCGATCCTTTTGTTTTCCTTTGTTAAATGGCTTGCTTTTTTCTTATTGGTTTGTTTTCTCTCTCCTCTACTATATTAACATCTCTCTTACTCTTACTTTCTATTGACTCCGACGAAGGACTAACGTCCGAAACGTCAGTTACTATTTTCACTACGGTGTATAACTTATCATTCTACGATAACTGTATTATTCGAAATTATATATGTTAACATTCAACAACATTTTCTTTTGCATAGCACTACCAGGGGATGATTTACCAGGCTTGTTGAAATACTGGGCACTTGAAGGGACCGATGGAGACGTCGCGTAAGTAACGAACTTGTGAAGACATTAAAGTGGTAGCCACATGACAATAGATATTTGTCTAAACTTTATAAAAACGCTCACGGCTCCGTATTCGAATGCAAGAGCCTTTAGGTTTTCACTTGGATCACATTATAATTCATCTATATAAGTAGCACGGGTGGCGAAGTGGCACCTTGGTTTAAGCCCTGCCAGGCTCGGTATCGTATGTGAGTTGAGTTGTTTGTTGGTTCTCTCCTGTGCTTCGAGAGTTTTTCTCCCATTGTTCGGTTTTCCTCCCTCCACAAAAATCAACTTCCAAATTCTAATTCAATCTATCGTTCGCCTTGTAATTGGTTCCTAGACCCGTAAGGCTTTATTTCCTAATCAAAGTAGTAAAGTTGGATGAAAAAAATATATGACTGCTATAGCAGGCTGTCAACTTAACCATTTTTATTGTCCCATAGGTTGGAGGGAACCCCTATCCCAAGATACGACGTGGTCGATGGAGAAAAATCACTTTACTTTCCTGGACTCAAAGGCTACGCAGAAGTCCCGGCAGTCGTGATGAATCCCGAGGGATACACGTTCATGTTGTGGTTCAAGCCTGGCAAAAACAGTACAAATGACGCAGAAAATGTATACAGTGACTGGGGTATTCCGAAGAGTTTTCGCTTACTCTTTTCTAGAAGAACTAAAACTCTAGTCTTCAGAATATACAAACAGGAGGACGGAAGTGAAATGATATCGTATTATGCAAGGTGTGTTAACAAATCACTTGTGACTCACATAGAAAGTCCCAGTTCTATAATACAATGTGCAGATAAACTCTGAACATAATTTATTATTTATTGAAGTTGGTGTATTTGGAGCCTTGAAAAAGGGATAAATGGATAGCTGGATAAGTGATATAAACTATCGGGAAAGTCTATGAGAAGTTCCAAGGTTTTACACAGCTCTCGACCTCTCCAAAACAAAACTTTGGTTTATATCATGCTTGTTAAATATATTGTATACCGATAGTACTAATCAGCTTTCCTCTTTATATTTGATTATATAGTATTGACATGAACGGTTGGAACCACATTGCTGTAACATGGAAAAAGGCACAAGCAACGATCAGGATTGTGTTAAACGGGACACACGGTTTAACGAAGGCGTTTATACCTATCCCACCTACAACCCACACAACCTATCACCTTGGGATTTTGGGGGACGCTTTGACTCATGTCTCTCGTAACAAWGCATTGGTTGGTCACATGAGACATTTGATGGTCTTCAATAACAGTATGACTGATCAGGAGATACAAGCAGCCATCAGTAAGTGTCTTTGATTGGTCTTGACTCATACTTACATATTTATGTACGTTGCAATTGCCGTTGTATATTGACAAAGGCAATGCTTTGGGAAGCATCTAATAAGATTTTATAGTCCCGAACGGCTTACTCAGAAAGACAGACAGAGAGACAAACAAAGACACACACACACACACCATGCACACAGACAGACACTCAGACACTCAGACAGACAGACAGATAGTTATCGGTTTTCATATACTGCAGCCCACAAAGGTACTCTTTGTTGTTTGCATGGAGATATTTACCTTTAGTAGTAAATATGTTGGGGAAAATACGAGTACTAGTAAAAGAAGATATATCACCATGTATGTTAAAATGTGTCGTAACCTGTTTACAGTCATACCTGTCTAACCTATGAACACCTCTATTATTATTGTATCTATAGATTATGAACAGCAAGGTAGTTTTTGGATTGGTCTCAATGCCCTGAATGACAGCAGTACCTTCAAGTGGAGTGATGGGACAAGCACCCAAAACATGGTGTTGCCTTATTTTCTAGAAGCTCCTCCCTCTTATGGTCCAAGGTGTGTTGCAGTGAAGAAGAACGGGAAGTGGTTTGACAATTACTGCACACGATTAAGTTACTTTGTTTGTGGCAAACCATTCCCTTAAGGTGACTGTGATAACTTACTTGCGCACAAAAACCGCTGACTGAAGTGATATAGTAACCTTTCATTTTTTTCGAAATGCATGCTTATGAATTCGCTGCAAAAAGAGCAGAACGCTTGAAATTTGCACCAGTGCCGTAGGAATTTCAGATGCCTTTTAATTAAGTTTAAAGAAATCCGCCTGGGATTTATTTAGCAGATTAAATACCACTTATTAACCGAGAGTGAGGTCATTACAGGGAAATCTCAGACCGAGGTCTTGACAGTACGGACCGAGCGCATCGAGGTCCGTACAAAAAAGACCGAGGTCTGAGATTTCCCTGTTAATGACCGAACGGACGAGGTTAATAAGTTATTTATTATATGGCCTTTTTTAGTGCTGTATTTTTAATAAATAATATACCTAACTATGAACACCGGAAGTAATTTTCAACATCCGCTTGCGCACGCAAAGTCAAAGTTGAGGTCGTGTTCACTGAGCCAAGCGATCCTGGTGAATTTATTGAAATTCACAGAGACGGTTTTGTTCAAAGCGAGAACATTTTTGTCTTTATTATGGCAGGATCTAGGAAAATGCGAATACTTTAATTTCACAAAACACAGATACCTGTGTTTACAAGTGTTTGAACTCTTAAAAACTCAAAAATTTAGAAGAAAAATAGACCCAAATTGTCAATGAATTTTGAACACGTGCGGAGAACTTGCAGTTATTTCAGTGAAGTGTTAGTCTTCGTCGTCGCTCTCAATAACATAACGTCGCTTTGCACCTTGTTGGATTAACTTAACTGGGCCATTGAAGATCTGGAACTGACATTGAGAGATACTGCTGATATTCGCTCCAGGAAAAACACCATTTAAAGCTGCTGGGTYGCDTGAATTATTCACAGCGAGCGAATTCGTYGTGTTTTGGAGACTCAGGCTGCTGTGTGACTGCTGTGAACTTGTTATTAACTGGCCACTGCTATTGTCTGGAGGAGCAGTTATCTGTTCGGAATTTGGCGAGTGACTTGAAGAACTCAAAATGTACGACATTTGTCGCTGATGGTGCTCATTTGCTGACTTGTATGACTTGTACTTCAGCCATGTTGTTTTGCTCACTTTTTGCCTCTTCTTCCTCTGGATAGTAAAATTCGCTTTCGCTGTGGCTCTCTTCGTCGCTCATTGTACACTGAGAAGTATCTCTAAGCTATACAATAATTTTTTTCAGTTATTGAAAAGACAAATGTATTTTGTTTATGTTTTCGGTTGATTTAATGTTTGGTTTCGTAGCTTTTGATCGCAACTGAAAAGAGCCGTGAATGAAGCCGAGAACAATTTCCGTAATGACCGGTCATTACAAGAAAATCTTGCCCGCTAAGCAGCCAATCAGAGCGCGCGAAACATTGATGCCATATAATAAAGATCCTTTTTCTGTGCTTCGTTTAACAATAGAGCGCGCAAGAATTGACGTAAGCACGAAAGAAGTGTAAGGAGAAGCACGAGCCGTAGGCCAGTATTTCTGACACTTCTCGAGTACTTTCGGCTTTGCACTACCGGGCGTAGCATAGAAAAAGCTGTTGGATTTTTTGTTTTGGGTTTTTTGTTTTGGGTTTTATTACAATAGAAAAAAAAGGTTGTAGTTTTCGGTGCTATTTTCTAACACTTCTTTACAAAGTATTCTGCTCACGCAAAGTTTGCTGAGTTTTATTTAACAATTATTCGATTATCGGGGAATATTTACCGAGACGCGAGTCTTCGAGCGGCGAGGTAATATTCCCCAGCAATCACTGAGCCTGAGGCAAATAATTGTTTTAGTAAAAATACACAGGTAATTCTTTCAAAAAAAGAAAAACAAGAAGATAAAAGGCTTTTTTTTTTCCGGTAACAGCAACAAAGCGGCTGGAACGCCATTTTGGATTTTCGCTCGAGGTGATTATCGTGTGATAGTGTGAGTTTCTTGACCAATCAGCGCGCGAGATTTTCTATAATCACCTGCGTATTTTTACTAATAAAAGTTAGGCCCGATTCATACGTCGCGCTTTCATGTGCCGAACCTAATATTCTATTTGGGTCGACACAATTACAATAGGATCGACGTTGATTCATACGTCGCACCTAATGTGTTGAGCCAAATACTCTGAGCATGAGTAAGCGGTAAAATCAGTCAGCGGAATTACGGTAAATTGAAGCAATTCAAATAAAAACAAACATGGTGGACGATCAAAAAAGACTACTTTTTCTCCGTGGTAATCGACATGCAAGGGCAAGAAGGCAAAATATCATGCAGTCTATGCTGTTACTTGCTAGCAGAAGAAGACATATAGCTAGTTTCGCTGTAATGCTGTTGCTTCTTTCCTTACAAAATGGTGTTTACACTTCGGGGACCGTTGCGAGATCGTGTCACCGCCTCTCAAGAAATGCCGGGTGGTGCACATATCATCCGCCATCTTGGATCTCCCAAGACCGTATCGCGYATACTCATTACCAAATACCGCTGCTTTTTAGGTCCGGGCTCACCTAATTTTAATGTATGCATTTGATTCGGCACAACAGAAGCTCGACGTTTGAATCAGTGTCGAACATTTGCCGTGCGGCTCGACTGGTGCGGTCGAGCTCAGTACCGCGTCGAACCTAATCCAGTCGTGCCGAACTTAATTGATTCATACGTCGAGCCTTTCATGTGCAAAATAGATACTATTAGGTTCGGCACATGAAAAGCGCGACGTATGGATCGAGCCTTATTCACCGAAGGCAAAGTGAATATCGTCTCATAATTAGTTTGTCAGATATGTATATCGCGCGCACCATGGAAATTCCAGTTGCAGTTGAATTTTCGTCTTACCCTACTTGCGTACGTCATCAACTAGCGCGCGTGCTCTTTCCGTTTGTTGTTTTGATCACAAAAATGAAACGGAAAGTAGACTAAAGAGCTCGCGCGCACTAACTGACCACGCACGGGAGTTATAGGGCAAGGCGAAATTTAAACTGCATCTGGTTTTTAAAAATAGCCCAACCGGGAATTTACATAAACCGCGTGATATTTAAGACGTTTCCCTCTCTTACTTATGCTCTCTTGCAGCAAACTAATAAACCTTTATAAATACAATTTGTAGTTTCCTCTTCGATCGATTTTGTAAGTTTGTTTGTCTTCTTCGCCGCGATAAAAATGTTGACTTTGGTTTAGGATTTACAGAAATGTGTCATGTTGTTTTTGTTTGCATTTTGTTTGGATCAATATTTTGAAAAAGGCTTTGTAGGAGACTTGGCATGGAAGTCAGGTGTTCGGGTCTTTATGGGATAAATATGACATGGAGAGAACCATGAAATCTCAAAAGGGTTTTGTGTTAGAGTCTTAGATTCTAACATTTCCGAATATTTTTGACAACGGGATTTGTTTTCTTTGCGGATTGGCCTTTTATTTACGCCAATTGAAAATACAACTTTACAAAAACGCATAGTGTGTGTACGCTGTCGAAAACGCTACGTGTGGACAAGAAAAATTCCATTTTCAGAAATAAAGGGATACGCCTGGACGGGTCCTTACTTGGCCCGTGGAATGTAGCAAAGGAATTGGCGTCTGGCATTCCTATGCATTAAGCTTTTTTTTTTTCTTTTTTTTTTTT